CCCCCCGAGCCCAAAAACTTTGATTTCTCGTAAGGTGCCGAACGGGGCATAAAAAAACCACCGTCCGATCCCTAGTCGGCATAGTTTATGGTTAAGACTACGACGGTATCTGATCGTCTTCGATCCCCTAACTTTCGTTCACTGATTAATGAAAACATCCTTGGCGAATGCTTTCGCAGTAGTTAGTCTTCAATAAATCCAAGAATTTCACCTCTGACAATTGAATACTGACGCCCCCGACTATCCCTATTAATCATTACAGCGGTCCTAGAAACCAACAAAATAGAACCGATGTCCTATTCTATTATTCCATGCTAATGTATTCGAGCAAAGGCCTGCTTTGAACACTCTAATTTTTTCAAGGTAAAAGTCCTGGTTCCCCACTACACCCAGTGAAGGGCATAGGGCTCCCCAGAAGGAAAGACCCGACCGAATCCGTGCGCTCGATTAGGAGGACAGATCAGCCAGGTCCAAGGTTCAACTACGAGCTTTTTAACGGCAACAACTTTAATATACGCTATTGGAGCTGGAATTACCGCGGCTGCTGGCACCAGACTTGCCCTCCAATTGTTCCTCGTTAAGGGATTTAGATTGTACTCATTCCAATTACGAGACCCGAAAGAGCCCCGTATCAGTATTTATTGTCACTACCTCGCTGAATTAGCATTGGGTAATTTGCGCGCCTGCTGCCTTCCTTGGATGTAGTAGCCGTTTCTCAGGCTCCTTCTCCGGAATAGAACCCTAATTCCCCGTTACCCGTTAAGATCATGGTAGACCACTACTCTACCATCGAAAATTGATAGGGCAGAAATTTGAATGAACCATCGCCGGCGCAAGGCCATGCGATTCGTTAAGTTATTATGAATCACCAAGGAGCCCAGAGGGCATTGGTTTTTTATCTAATAAATACACCCCTTCCGAAGTCGGGGTTTTTAGCATGTATTAGCTCTAGAATTACCACGGTTATCCAGGTAAAGGTACTATCAAATAAACGATAACTGATTTAATGAGCCATTCGCAGTTTCACAGTATGATTGCTTATACTTAGACATGCATGGCTTAATCTTTGAGACAAGCATATGACTACTGGCAGAATCAACCAGGTAACTATCTTGCAGGCCGGGCCGGGCGGGCAGCCGAGACTGGCCACGCCGCGACCGCGACACGACCCTCCCGAAGGAGGGTAGAAGTTAGTTGGAACCAGGCAGGGGCGGCCTCCACACGAGGTGAAGCGCACGCCCGACCGGTGACCGACACCACCCCCGCGAGGGGGTGGCCGTCATGCTGCGGCCATCCAATTGCCCCCACTGAGTTCCCCAAAGAACGGTCCGCCGCAACGATTCGATCGGTGCCCGGGGGCGACAACCACGAAGCTGTGACATACGTCCTTCAGGAGGAGGACACCAAAAGGCCGGTCACATCAGACGAGTCTGACGGCTACCGACCCTGGCTTACCCCCGGAAATCTGAACAGGAATCTTAGCCAAAGGCCAATCATCCACAGACCTCATCCTCACCGAGGCGCTGAGAAGCATCCCGGGTTTCGGTCAACCCTTCACCCCGCGAGGGGTTCCGGTGTTTGACCACTTCCCAGGTTGGAACCGTCAGGTGACCGTTCAACCGGAGGAAAGTGGTCTGGCAAGCGTGAATACAGAAAAAGGGTGCCTTCCTCGAGCGAGTAAGCCTCGAGCCTGAGTTGGGCGGGGAATCGGGTCGTTGGGCGGGCCACATCGCTGCGGTCGGCCCAACGCCGTCATCCCGGGGGCGAACAAGAAACTGGCCAGCCCAATGTACTATCTCATGAAATTACCGTCCGGGCGCTCCACACAGCCCTACGGGCACTCGGCACTGAAAGTTCGGGGGGGTTGCCTTCCTCAGACGAGTAGCCTCGAGCCTGAGTTGGGCGAGGAGTCCAGTCGAGATAGGCGGGCCACATCGCTGTGGCCGGCCTAAAGCGCCGTCGTCCCGGGGGTGAACAGTCAGTGCCAGAGCACCGGTAAAGCTGAGCGGAGGGCCGGGAGGGTACCTTCATAGGGCTCCACGGGACCGACCAGTCTCAGGTTCTGGGGGGTGAAGGGGGTTGAGGCCCAAGGGAGCCTAGGGCCCCGGGCCACCAACCCCAACGCGGCCAGCGACGGATCGGGGGCGACGTTGGGGGAGGTGGCCAGGGACCCGACGCCGGCGCCGCAGCAAAAGTCAACCAGTTGACTGGAACTGCGGGGCCTTAGTCGCGGTCGGCTGTCCTTGGGATGCCCCCCCTTCATAGATTCACCGGGCTCTGATCGGACCTTTTTTCGTCAGAATATACGAAATGTCTAAAACAGGTCTGAAAGGGGGGACTTTTGTATGGCACCACGAACAAAAAGGTCCGATGGCGGGCCCGCGGTATATAGAGGCCCAATTTCACTTGCGGCGGG